AAAATGTGCACATCATGGCCGCGCCCATGCTAGGGTCATTTCTACCTTTATGCAACTGTTTGATCAGCAGTCCATCTTAATTTATAAGTTCGTGACTGCAGCAGACACAACACAAATGTATAAATAGATCGTAAACTCGACACGATAACAAAGAAAAGTTAATTCGATGATATCTTTCATTAATAGTTCTCCAGAACGGTGGTAATGACTTCTTTCTACGAATGCAGATACATGCAAATCCAGAACCCAGTGATTAAAATCTTCATCAGGTACGGTATAACAAAATAAATCCCTTCCGAAGAATTCTTCCGGAACAAGAACCGCTAAAAATAAACCTCACATGTAACATCGAAACAACCAAACACAGATTATGAATAATCCTTACCGCCAGCCGAATAATCCCCTATCTATTTCCTGCAAACCAACCAAATGAATGTTCCGATTTTTAACCAATTTAACATTACGCAACAACTTTTAAGTGCCAACCAGATTACAAAATCGCAAATTTCTAAAAGAAGGTCTCGAATTCACGAAGACAGGAAATCAATTATCATACTACGAGCACAAAAACCCACTACACTTTAAGCTTGTATCCAACCGCTACAAGGACACAATGCCAAAATAATTTTTTTGCTTACTATTCAATATCGTTCCATGTCTGCCAATAATTGGAATGCTACTGAAAATTATTAAACTTTATTAAAGATATACTAAGAAGGTAAACTAGCTTGTCACAATGCCACTACTAGATGGAATAACATATTCAAATAGATAATTATTTTTACAACGCGTTTTTCAGAACATTTACTTGCGACTTTGATTTTGTTTGTAGATATATGTTTAAGTTGAGGTCGGATTGAAAAGCAGACGTTGACCCGAATCCCCCCTTACGGTTTAAAACTGTAGTAGTTCACATTATGCATTTATTTTCTTTTCTTTTCTTTACATTATTTTCAATGTTTTATAATTCTCTTTAATTGCTTTTTTTTACACTGTTAGAGTAATGGCAATTGTCTCATTTGTTATTTGACTACTGCAGTTATTAAATAAAGGCATATTATTACCTATTATATTATTAAAACTATTACCTACATTTAGATTAATAATAGATTTCTTCAACTTTAATTCAATATTACACTTTGCTTCTAGAAAGCAGCACATTCTTTTTAAAAAAATCATAATAGTCACCTGGGGAAACGTATAGCTATTTAATTATTTTTTTCAGTTGCATTTGGGATTTTTCTCCGGTAAGCATTGTGGTAGGTTTCTACTGTAGTGAGACATTGATTATTATACCACTCCCATTCTCCCAAATTCTGACCTCCTATACTGTGGAAATTTAATATTTAAGCGAACTGTAGACAATAATATGAAGTAATCATTCCGTTGATTGACAGACAACTTGGTTTCTACTGACCACATGACAAAAGACAGTTACTAAAAATTAATACACATTATAAAAATAACAGTAGGCGCACATTGTATAATTTTTCATTTAATAGTTTGCACTAAATTCTAACATTTAAATCGTGTTTTAAACGGCGATTCTGATGCAGGTATAATAAATAATATAAAACAGCACCAAATTATTGTAAAGTAGAAATATACAGCACTGCGAACAGAAATACATCAAACTATTTCACGCTTGGATTTTTAACATTAACAGCTAATGACAGTTCGACAGTCTAGTTGGCACCAGAAACTACCAAAACAAAATTTCTTCAAAAGTAGACAATACACTTATTGTGGTGGGCCTACTAAGCATGCCCTAACCTAACGGCACCACCCCTACACCTACTCGGAGGCGCGAAACCGCCCGCAAGAGCATCACCGACCCAGATTTTATTGCCTTTGTATACCATTTTATGTTCCCCGGTTACCAAACCTGGAAACCCAGGAGTCGGTGACTGTGAGGCCAGATGTGACGGGATTTACTCACTTCTTTTTCGTTGACTGAGACCATTGATTTTCGATCTACTTACGAGCGAGTGCATAAATGGCAGTACTCGGTACCGATTGGCCACGGAAACGTGGACTGCTATGAAGGCACGGTTTTGATCGAGTCGCGGGCGGTCATCGTTAACGCCAAGCTAGCAAGGTTTCCTTGCTGGCCGTTAACAGGCGCGTTTGGCGTCTACGCCTCAGTAACTTCAGTTGTGTGCATCATGTCGAAGAAACTCATAGCGTATTTGTTCCTGGAAGAGGAGGAAGGCGAGGAAATTATTTGTTATTTAAAAGGAAGAAAACGTTCCAGACCCCATAATCTGTTCAGAAAAAAAGCCTACCGAAGGTTTCTTCAAAACACAACCGACGAAAAGAAATTCAAGGATTTTCTCGACTGAACAGTAAGCATGTTTCATTTCGCGCTGGACCTGGCGGCGGATAATTTAAAGAAAACGTCAAAAAATGCAGTTAAATGCTCGATAACTCCGAAAGAAAAGTTGGCTACAAGTATGTCATTTTGCGTGTTAGGATATGATTAAAGGGTTATATTTTCTAGTTTCAAAAACGGCTTGATAAACTCAATCCACTTTAAAATGAGTACACCACCTGCACTTAAAAACCTGCTGGAATATGTCTACAAAACGCTCCCAACTACACTCACCATTTGTAAATTACACCAACGCCTCTAGTGTTAATCTGAATCACGTATAGATGCGTATAGTGGTTCGTGCAGCAGTGGCGCCCCATCCGGGCAGTATTTAAACCGCGGCTATAATTACCAAACTGACGATTGAATTGAAGTATTAAAACACAACATAATTTCTTTGTATACTGCAATTGTCACGTGTGTTAATAAGTTTGGCAAGCATGTACTGCATGCCCATAAGCACCAGACTTCATCTGGAGGTGCAAACGCACTGTAGTGGTTTTTTCACTTATTCACTTCCTAATCAATTATCGCATTATCACCTCCAATAATTGATTAATTTGGTGAATTTCTTGTTCGTCAAATTGTCCTACTGAATTAGAGGTTTGTATTTAAATCGAGTAAATTTGTGTTGTCGAAATTCAAATTTGTTTCCTTTAGCAATTTGACGCGAAAAATCAGATCAGATTTTCATTATCTAAAGCTAAACAACCCAAATTTACTTGGTAAAATACAAATTTCTTGTGCAATGAGCGATAAAATTACGATGTTAGTCAATATAGGAGGAGCAATACAAGGAATTAATGAATCCTTTCAGCTAAGTTAATATTACTTACTAGCCCCTTGCTTAATTAGCCAACTTATGTAATTTACAAGTAATTGACAGCCGAACGCATACTTTTAACTAATCAAATCGAGTCCAATGCATAATTTCGACAACGTCAAATTTAATTAAGTCTGTTTTCGGACCATGCATTTGCGCACCCATTTCGAGAAATAACAAATAAACTTCGACCAAAGAAATCCCTTTTGCTTCGGGTGGTTTTCACTCGTGTTCAATGGTTTTTTGGAAAAAAAGCGAGAAATTAACGTCCGAAAAAATAGTAACTTCCGCTATGGTAAAACTTTGGAATTTTTAGACTGAATCCCTCCAAAACACATTCCAGGCTACCCCTATCCTATTTAGTGTTAATTAACCACATCTTTTTTTACATGACGTTTATTAATTAAGTTCACCATCTTTTCCGAAGGAACTTTATTGGAAGTCTCCCGAAATGAGCTTTGGGCCGTACTCATGCCTTGACTTTTGTTGACTTGCATCTTTTTTTAAAGGGTACGATAAACTGTTGGCTTGCGTAGTTTTTTAATCAGTTTTTCAACAACTAAACCCCACCAAGATAAGATTACTTATTTATCTACGGCTCTCCAGAGCCTAAGACTTCCTAAAGCTATTAAAAAACAAAACTCTATTGAATTAAAATAGTAGAATAAAGGCGATTGTTAATTTCCACCACGCCTTACATGTTCTACTTATCGTGCAAATTATCGGAAAAATTTAATCCTCTAATTTTGATACCCTGCAGACTTCTTACTTTACCTAATTCTACGAAAAAATTGAAATTCAAATTTAAAGCTACCGTTATACGCTAAATTTGCACCGTAACGTTAATGCTCGCGCTTACTATTCAATGCCAGTTTAAAATGCGACGAAACCTGCGGTGGCACCCATAATATTTTCATGTGAAAACATTGCTCAACAGGGGAACCAAATTGTGAGAAGCTGACCTTCTCCTGAGGTAGCCGCAAGTTTTCATTGTCCTCCTATGATATAGTGAAAAACATGTCAGCTGTTATTAACGATCAATGTTTCTCCTCGAATATATTAAATAATAGAATCTGCTGTTTCAGGTATAATTTACTAAATTGACGGGATGTACCCAACCGAAACATCGTTGGTGACGTGATATTGAAAAATAATGAGGCAATAATGAGATACTCCCCGAGCATGCTTCTCATTCACGATTTATACACTATGTTTAAATGAACAAGGCAAAAAAGCACTGAATTTGTAATAAAACATCTCATGAACTTGAATTAATATATCCGATTTACATAAATATTTAATGTTTCATCATATTCACAAGACATAGTGTGTAATTTGTTGGTTTGAATGAATAAGTTTAATTAGACCTAGTAGCACGATTATTATATTACCATTAATTTTTTCCCTCGTCGATTTTACAATAAAATAGTTTCAATAATGACTTTGCCTTTATTTTTAGTCTCCTTCCGATTAAAAAGCTGCTTTACCTTGTAGGTATCATTATGAATTCCTGGGTTAAAAAGAGTTGGGCAAATTATTTACTGATGTAAACCAAGACATAATTGACATACCGCTAAATAATTATTCGTTTTGTTCGAAACAAATATTTAATTGCCACCTTTTTTCTCAAAATGGTAGTAGTGTTGAATATAAAAAACAATCTCGTTTACCGTACGAGTTAGTTGTATCTAAATATACGTCATAATGTTACAGATGTACCACTTTAGTGTCAAGTTTAAATTAGTTCCCTCGTAATTGTAAAAGTTGGTAAGTAGATGTAATTTGGTTGGTTAAGTTAGCCGGATACTTTTGTAGTTGATATCGTCTCGCCATTGATCTCACTTTCAACAACCATCAACCCACGTGAGTAGTAAAATTAATCACTCATCCTGCTTTCATCAATTCGACAAATGGGCAAATCCATTCCGATAGAAAAGCGAAATGCTTCCGGGTAATAATATCAAACTGGCAACAAATCCCCCCCTATTCCATTTATATCCAGTACACATACAGAGTTTATAATTTTCCATTGATTTTTCTGATTGCTTACGTAAGGTCTGCCTGTTATTGCAAATACGGTTTATGCATACGTCGGTGAAATGAAAATCTGATTACGGTTTTAAAGATAAGTATCCCTACCTACCTACATATAAAGCTTCTTTTAAAAAAAAAACGGGCAGGGCTCAGTTAAGGCGATTAGAATTTTATTGCTTTTATTTTCCTCTCCACGACTAAACAATTTTCTTGACATTAAAATTAATTTTGAATAATACCAGTTTTATTGAATGCAGTTCGAGCAATAAAGCAATATTGGTCTAACTAAACGACACCTGCGACGTTTGGATGTTCCGCTTTATTGCGCATAAAATATTTTATTGCGTAAATGCAGCCATTATGGCTTTTCGAGTAAACTAGAATGAATAATAAATAACTTAAGTGTATCAGAATAACTGATACACAACCGTTGAATACGAGTTGGAAATTACGGTAGGTAGTAATATGCCATAAACAAAAATCATTTCTAAAATTTATAGGTTCCATTCGGGCGGCGGCCATCTTTTTCGCCTAGCGAAAAGTATCGGAGAGGTGTTTTACGATTTTGTACAGAGCGCGATTTGCAGTTAAACAAACGCAATTATCGCGAAAGTTTAAAAGTAACAAAATTTTTACAGTCTTCTAAAGAGTGCACGTTCACTATTCCGTTCGAGCTTCGAATTGATATCTAGCAATTTCTAATATAATGACGAAACTTTCAAGAGCACTCATGTTTACAAAGTAGCTTACTAGATTCCCATAATTACCGAAGTTGCTCGCGAGATCAATTTTTATCGCCAATGTTACTTTACCTTAGATAGAGACGATTCGCAACTTTTTCGGCACGATATGCAAAGTAGGTTTCAGATTGGATCACTGTAACGCAGATTATTGGAATTGTGCTATAGTCGTCATTATTTCAATTTTTAACATTTTTTAGAACAAATGCCGTTGAGTGGCCATTTACTCTGCACTTGAATAAGCTTTGTAAACATCGAAAACTAATGAATTATTATTATTTTCGTATGAACAACATAATGCACCAGGTTTTGTGAGTTTAAAGTTTTTTCCTCCCATATGAATTGCTCTAAATCAATCTGGGGCTCTTGTAGTTGTCATTTGATTGGGTGTATAATTAAAGAAAATGTTAATGCTGCTAAAAAGGTTAAAATGGAAGTCCAAGATTTCTTTGGCCGTGCATTGCAAAGTGCTAATACTGCTAATAATGAAAAAACAATGGATACTAATTACATACAATTTCCCTGTATGATGGGTAGTTCTTCGGAGATCTAACATTTTTGGCGACCGTGACAGGACCGAGGTGATGTGATATCTAAATACTAAACATTAGTGGTTAATACAGATAACAAATATGAATTACCCATCAACTCGTGATAAAGGAAGGTTCAACGACCAATATGGTTGTATCTATGGTTGTAAGCACAATGAAAATGCACTACGGAGGTCCCCAGTGCCGAAATGATATAGTCCCCTTCCGTCGACACCTCCACGAGATCTGGTGATACGCTTCCGTTGACGAGGTGTCACAAGACCTGGCGATCGATACAATTTGATAATACAGTCTCTATTCAGATTGTATTATATCTAGAAAGAAGAAATCTCTGTCTATAAAATAACAAATAGGAAAACTTAATTCCGGTAAATTGTTTCAATATAATAAACATGAATTTGATTCATACGTTTACCGTGTCTTAAATGTGTTCTATCACCCCGATCGCACAGTTCAAATTGCCGGGACGACCAAAGTCGAGATGTACATTATTGCCGAGATTGCCCATTGCCGGGATAATTGGAGCCGGGAAGTAAATCGGTGCCGGGATGGCCGCATTAAACAACCCATGACGATTTCCCACCAGGCGCACTAGACGCCTAGGGATTAATACAGTGCCATGTAAGAATTGTGAACAGTTTTACCATTTAATAATTGCAAACGATAATGTTATAATGTGTCATTTCCATTTTCTTGTTTTATTGTTAAGCGTTTCATGTTCTTAAATTGTTGTTTATGGTGTTTGTGTAGTTTAGCTTGATAATTAATCAAAATATACGATACCGAACAATCATGCCATGAAAAAGGAGTAGTTCGATTCAAATCCAAAGCTTTAAATAGAAAATAACAATGGACACACATAGGAGAAATTGTCATATTAGAGTCAAGGGGCCAACTAGCTCAGGGTTAAACAAGAAAATACACGCTTGAGATCTGTCACAGCGGTAGTCCGTTCTGGGCATTTAATCTTCGTTCTTCGTTGCGCTTACCAATGGTTGAGCGCCACTCAATTTCTAATTTAACTCTTCCCGTATGAAGTTGAGAAGTAACGAGGGTAATAATGAAAGTAAAAATCAATGTAGGTACCAAAAGAAATACTAACCTATTCAAACAAATGGCAAAAATAAAAATTCTCTCCACAATGGGATAGCGTAACACGAATATTCAAAATACTCCCTCAAATACTCAAAATTATAACTTACGTTACACAAATATCTTAGTAACTTCAATGTACAGGGTGGCCAACTAAGAATGCGAGGTACTGTATATGAGAATCTATTCATCGTAGAGGCTTGCTGTAAAAAAATTTATTACTAAAACGGCCACGAGAAAAACCTGGAACATATTTTTAAGTTTCTGAAATGATCGCTAGGGGGCGTAACTGCAATCTGGAATCTAAAAAAGTGATGTTTCTGTGAATTCCGCTATATTAACCTAACCCGGTCTTTGAAGTCGACGATAATCTGAACAATTTTTGTTTGACAATTTTTCCTGTATCTCTAAAAATGAAGTGGTGGGGGGTATTCAAAGGTTTCCGTAAAGAACACCTTGTATCTTCGAAACGGCTGAGCCGATTTAAACAAACTCGGGTTAGTTCAAAAGAGCTATTCTTCAGCTACAAATATTATACTATTTGAAGTTTTGTTAGTTTCACATATCACCGCTTGAGGGCTTTTTTCGACATTCCGACATAAATGGTTAATTTTCTCAAAAAAATTAAATGTATTGGTTCGATTTTTTTTTCATGAAAAAGTAGCTAAATGGTGCCTAAACAAACTCAAGCCATCCCACACGAGACACGAGATGAATCTTAGGACGCTGAAAGGGGGGGAATCGAGTATGAAAAACTTTTGACTTTGAACAAGTTGTGAATAATCCACGAGTAAAATGTTACTCGCAGTAAATAATAGACCTTCCACTTACATCTTAAATGATCCAAATGATTCTACAATGTCGACAATGAAACCAAAGCGTTGCTATCTTTTAGCGAAGAATATTGGCACTAAACTTCTTCTCTTTCACTCACTTTCATAACTCACTAAGCCCTTAACTATAGGACCAACCCGCTTTTAAAAATAACAAGTTCTAGCGCCAATTGTTTTCATATAAACCGCAATGATTTTAATTTTATACTGTACAGTTAACGTGACCGTGGTCAGAAAGCGAATGAATCCCTTTCATTCTCGCACATTCGTCACTTAATAAGTCATATAGTGTTGCGATATCATTCCGAATTTTTTGCTTCCCACGCTAAAATAATCTTACGTACCTACTTTAATACATGCACTGCTAACGAAATTTAATCTTTAAATTACCCTGTCAAATTCAAATTCATGTACCTTTACTCCCATATAAATTAAATAATTCGAGTAAAGAGGAGAAAGAGAGAGAAATTGCAAACCTAAGCTATTTTAATTTAATTTAGAATAGCTTCAATAGTTTTGAAAATGTCGCAAAAAACATCTTTAATCGATTTTAATAACAACGTTCCCCTTCATCGTTTGAACGCAATATGGTTTTAGCCGACTTTGATGACCTTCGTCAAAGAAGCACAAGATTAGAAGAAGGGATGGGCCAAGAGCCATAGCGAATCTTAGGCACTGTGCTTAGAATTCGGGGGTGGACAATTTGAACACATCTTGTGATGTTACATTCGTTAAATATCATTTATTCCTACGTATTTTGTTCTAATTTTAATTAAAATTTTCTTGCGAAAGTAAGGTTTCATTCCGTTCAGTTAAGAATAGAACCAAACAACTAGTTTCATGTCAATGCCGGCTACCAAATAGATGGATCAAACTGTTAAACTTTTATTCAGAACAAAAGAACGTTTTGTTTTTCCAAAGCATTCTTCACAAAAAATGAAAAACTAAGTAGGAAAAATATTGATACTGACCAGTGACCACCATGTGTGACACCTCGTTGGAATGACAAAAAACGACCTAATCTCAAAATGTCAAATTCAAAAAGGGCGTCCATAAGAAAAATTAAAATTGCTGTGTTTCTCCCTCAAATAAAAAACTGCCTGAATAATGTTTTGGATAAAAATGTCTAGTACTACATATTAGTTATAAAAAAAGTAAAAACGAAAATCAGAAATTTTTGTTTTTCTGCGATATTTTGAAAACTACTAAAGATATTTAAATTTTTTTCAGATTATAATTATTCAGCACGAAAATTAGCAACTTTGCCCTCATTTAACCAACTTTCTATCTCTTTAGGTAAGCGAGATCCTCATAGCGCCACTCGAAAAATCAGAAGAACCATTGTGATAGTGTCAAAATTACACATGTTAAATCTTTATGCGGACCACGCGGTTATCTTCTCAGTGTGATGTCAATCGAAAAGTCCTTAAGGACTATTGGGTGCCAAATATGCTTACCATACATACAAATTAAACCAAGGTTATGGCATACCATGGAGACTGGAAGAAAAGAGGTCTGGGGGTATTTGTGTTCAAAATTTGGTACGCCACTGGATATGATTTAGTGGGAACATTAATAATTCAAATGCGAGGGCGAAGGCTTGCAAGTGGATGCGCGTTATGGGTTTTTCTCAAGCAAGAGAGAGTAGGACGCGGGAGTTTTTTTTAGTCGAGAAATAAGGTAGCTTATTGGTGTGTGTGTGAGATCGTTCCGGACTCGATGAAAAGACAGATAGTACAAAATTAAATGTAGAACCCCTTTTCTTCTATAGCATTTTGCCACATATCTAACAGTAACCGAGATATCCGCTGTGAAAGCTAAAATCAAATAGACTGTATGTACTATGTATTCGTTCGTTGGCTGACGCTTATTACAAGCTAAAACGGAAAAGTGATATCGTTATAATGAAATTAGAAAAACCTAAGCCATTATAGAAACACATTTCGCGCGTTATGAATAATCAAGTAGTTAAATGAAGCAGTAGAGTAATTTAATTACCTGACGTGAAGTACTGTTCCATTTCCATTATCTCGTTTAACATTCAACTGGATATGCATTACTAATTTATTACCGCCGTCAATTGTGCAAACGTCTTCCAAAACAGTGATTTTACTCGAGAAAAAAACTCGACTCGAAAATGGAAATCTCTCCCGTCAACTTTTTATTGGTGTTCACCATCGATATGTGTGTGTATCCATTCCATTTCTCACATGTGCACATATCATGAAGCTCTAAGGTCGTAACTTTGCATTCCGGATCAAAAGCACTTACTCCAAACGAAAACAAGAATTTCCTTTCTGGGTCCACGACCGGGGTCATTTCTGTCTAATGCTCGACGTTAATACACAAATAAAACGAAACCTAATTACGGACTCGCCTGCAGTTTTCTCGCGATATAAAATTTTCATCGCGAACATGGAAATACTTTCAGCGTTCCATTTTCCATCATTTGACAGTTGAAATACAGCCGTCACGGGAAATAGATTATTAAACTCGTAATTGAAACAGTTTTTCAATATCCCATTTCCAGTCGTAGTGCCCGAAAACGGAAAAATCGATCGCAGATTAATTTTCCAAAATAGACTCCGATTCTAATTAGTTTAGTCTCCCAATTTAAGCTCAATTGTGAACATATCGACGTACTTGTTACGTTAATCGGGACGAATTTCCAAAGATGCAAGGGTGGGTGAGACCGCTCAAAAACGTACCTACATTAATTAAGCCGGTAATTGGCAAAGGCATTTTCCTATACTCGCACGACTTGGCTATTCACCATGTTAACCGATTTTTGCGTATGCGAATCGAAAATCATAATGAGAGAGGCGCGTTTGATGTTTAACTTTAGAAGTTTGTGCAGATAATCAAGCTAATTGTGTTTGTTTGTGGCCATTGCTGCTTCTAAAATTGAAATTTCAATTTGAGGGGCTGATACGTGTACGCTAACATTATTCGCTGGATTGTAATTCGGATTTAATTAATACAGTTTTTCATTTTGTCATTCTTTTATACATATTCCACAAGCCATTCCATCATTAGGCGCCCTCCCCATTTCAATTCAACGTACAGTGTTGCAAGTCCTGCAGCTGTGTACTGTTTGGAACAAAAATCTAGCACTTCCAAACGACGAGGAAACAATTCCCCAGTCTTCCTTAAGTAAAAACAGCGTTCTTTGATCTTGACATGATTGATCAATATGAATGCAATAGGCATCATAATGACTATTATGTAATTGTACAAGAGTCTGTAGTGACGGGGTATAACCGGGATCGATTTTGTTAGAATTTTAAAAGAATAAATTGATCAACTGTAATGCAAGGGGCGTGCACTTATTCCTGCGTTATTTATTTTCTATGAGGTCTTGTTTCTTAATAGGTTTCGGAAATTTTTTGGGTCGAGACGTCTGGAGTTTATATCATATTTCCCCTCTTTAATTAACGCAATTTAGTTACATCAAATGCAGCAAGAGATAATTTTTTGGATCATAAGAAGTAAGAATCATAATAAAATTGCCAAAAACATTATTAATTTCGGAGGGAGCTCCAATAAGATTTCTTCTTACCGATTACTACACTTAATAAAAAAAAGGAGGCAGTTAATTAACACAAACTAGAGGGGATTAGTCCAAGAAAAATATTAAGGAATTTACCATATAGCAATCAATCAATTGATATATGCCTTCTCACTGTCCGCTTATATAAAATAGGTCCAGTAGATTTTATGAGGAATGTAGATTGATATGAAGAATGCGAGGGTAACATTGTAACGACTTAGTTACATTTACAGTGGTTAGAAACCCCTCTTGGAGAGAATCAATGTTATTCTCTACGGCACTGGTAAAACTTTTACTGTAATAATTTTTTTGTAATGAAATAATTAATACCTTGTGGAAGATTGGTTCCTTATCTCCAGTTATAATCTGAAAATTTGAACTTTGAAATAAATACTTATATAAATTGACTTATTTGAATACATTGCTTATTCGCACTGAATTTTCAATTAAAAATAAATATAAACGTCATAAAAACGCCTCGTGTTATTGGTTTTGTTCAAAAGGAGACAATGAATCCGTCGAAAATGGTAGCACAATCTTTGGTTGCGAGGCTAACGATTCATATACTGCGGTTATACGGCTTTCGGTTTCGAGCACTTTAATTAACAATCCGCGATCTCATAAATGGCGTACACAACTCACAAAATTCACATTGAA